ACCTTAAATCCACGAGTGCCTAATGCTCCCATTACCTCACCCTGCATTGGTACCAATAGGAAATGATAGAAATGAAATAATGAAATATGGCAGCCTACACTTCAGACTGCGTCACGGAGGGACCTCTTTATTCAAGCTTTTTTGTGACACATTTTATAATCATTTTGCAAGCCATCTTTACAATGGCTCAAACCTACAGATACAAAAGCACATTCAGAAAATGAGTTGAAGAAGCCCTGAGTGGCTGAGTCCACCTCAAACCACTTCATGCTGTCCTGCAATGATTTGTTTAGTTTGTTTGCAATCATATAAGTAGTGGTGTAACTAATTATATTTACTCAAGTGCTAAGTGAAACATCTTGGTAATTGTACTTTACTTGAGTATTTTTATATTTAACTTTTCACTCCACTACGTTTTTTTAGCAGATTTAATTTGATAGTGACTTTGTAGATTTAGGTTATTAATACAAAATATATACAACACACTTATTGTTATTTTACTATTATATATTATTATTGGTTAAGCCAATGAGTAGTGTATAAAGTATTGAAAATAAACCTCATCTTTACAAACACAACATTGAAGTAATGATTTTTTAATACATTTAATAAAATACATTAAAAATATCTGGTGCTTAAAATTGCCATTTTTGCGTACTTTTACCTTTGGTATTTAAAGTATTCTTTATGCTAATAATAAGAACCAGCACCTTACCGTGGTAGAGAGGTTTGTGTGCCCTGATGAACCTGGGGGCTGTGTTGTCTGGAACCTTGTGTTCCTGGTAGGGTCTCCCATGGCATATTGGTCTCAGGCAAGGGGCCAGACTAACATTGGTTCAAAAGACCTCATGAATGAAAAACCAGGAAGTGAGGATACCCGGCCCGGAGGAAGCCCGGGGTCCCCTTCTGGAGCCAGGCCCAGAAGGAGGACTCGTCGGCGAGCGTCTGGTGGCCGGGCTTGCTACGGAGCCCAGCCGGGCACAGCCCGAAAAGGCAACGTGGGCAACACCTCCGCTTCTCAGTCCCGCGGGCCCACCACCTACAGGAAACAGCGATGGGGTCGGGTGCGCTGCCAGAAGGGTGGCAGTGAAAGCAGAGGGTCTCGACGGACCAGACCCGGGCGACAGAAGCTGGCTTTGGGGACGTGGAACGTCACCTCTCTGGGGGGGAAGGAGCCAGAGCTTGTGCGGGAGGTGGAGCGTTACCAGTTGGATCTGGTTGGGCTCACCTCTACGCATAGCGTCGGCTCTGGAACCTTACTTCTGGATAGGGGTTGGACTCTATTCTTCTCCGGAGTTGCTCAAGGTGTGAGGCGCCGGGCGGGTGTGGGGATACTCACAAGTCCCCAGTTGGGTGCTTCGTTGTTGGAGTTTACCCCAGTGGACGAGAGGGTCGCCTCCCTACGCCTGCGGGCTATGGGGGGGAAAACTCTGACTGTTGTGTGTGCTTATGCACCAAACAGCAGTTCGGAGTATACGGCCTTCTTGGAGACCCTGGAAAGAGTCCTGTATGGGGCTCCTGAAGGGGACTCTTTAATCTTGCTGGGAGACTTCAACGCACATGTGGGCAATGATGGAGACACTTGGAGGGGCGTGATTGGGAGGAACGGCCCCCCTGATCTGAACCGGAGTGGTGGTTTGTTACTGGACTTCTGTGCTAGTCATGATTGGCCATAACAAACACCATGTTCGAACATAAGGATGCTCATAAGTGTACGTGGTACCAGAGCACCCTAGGCAGAAGGTCCATGATCGATTTCGTTATCGTATCATCGGACCTGAGGCCGTATGTTTTGGACACTCGGGTAAAGAGAGGGGCGGAGTTGTCAACTGATCACCATCTGGTGGTGAGTCGGGTCGAGTGGCGTGGGAAGCCTCTGGATAGACCTGGTAAGCCCAAACGTGTAGTTCGGGTGAACTGGGAACGTCTGGAGGAGGCCCAAGTTCAGGAGGCCTTCAACTCACACCTCCGGCGGAGCTTTTCGGGCATTCCTGCTGAGGTTGGGGACATTGAACCAGAGTAGTCGGTGTTCAAAGCCTCTATTGCCGAAGCCGCGGCGGGGAGCTGTGGTCTCAAGGTCTTAGGTGCCTCAAGGGGCGGTAACCCTCGAACCTCATGGTGGACACCGGTGGTCAGGGAAGCCGTCCGACTGAAGAAGGAGGCCTTCAGGGATTTGTTATCCCGGGGGACTCCCGAGGCAGTTGCAAGGTACCTACAGGCCCGAAGGGCAGCATCGTCAGCCGTGACCGAGGCAAAGCAGCGGGTGTGGGAGAAGTTCGGAGAAGACATGGAAAAGGACTTTCGGGCGGCACCAAAGTTGTTCTGGAAAACTGTCCGACACCTCAGGAGGGGGAAGCAGGGAACCATCTAAGCTGTGTCCAGTAAGGATGGGACGTTGTTGACCTCAACTGATGGAGTGTTAGGGCGTTGGAAGGAACACTTTGAGGAACTCCTGAACCCGACAACTCCGCCCTCTATGTTAGAGGCAGAGCTGGAGTATGACGGGGGATCAATACCAATCTCCCGGGGGGAGGTCACTGAGGTAGTCAAACAACTCCACAGTGGCAAAGCCCCGGGGGTGGATGAGATCCGCCCAGAAATGCTGAAGGCTCTGGGTGTTGAGGGACTGTCATGGTTGCGTGGAAGTCGGAAACAGTACCGAAGGAGTGGCAGACCGGGGTGGTGGTTCCCCTTTTCAAAAAGGGGGATCAGAGGGTGCGTGCCAATTACAGAGGCATCACACTACTCAGCCTCCCCGGGAAAGTTTACTCTAACGTACTCGAAAGGAGGGTCAGGCCGATTGTCGAACCTCAGATTGAGGAGGCACTCAGTGTGCCCAACTGGTTAAACTATCTTATCAAAATATGTTGATTACTCTCTGTGAAGCCAGTTAAATGGGCTAACGAGAGAGAGGCGCTCCAGAATTGACGTGGCAACCCACCCGTGCAGTCAGACCGTGACTGCTGTGACTTGTGATGTGAATCTCTCCGGCCGTAACTCCAAATAAACCTCCAGTGTTTGACATTGAAGCTCCTGCTCTACCGTGTCTCTTTCCTGAGTCGGTGACTCCCACTGCATTGCTACACAGAAGTTTCCCTTACAAATTGGCGTTGTACTGTACCTGTATGTTTCTTGTTTGTTTCTTTGCCATGTGATATGTGATCTCTGTTCTGTATCTATGACTGATTGACCTGAATGTTTTATGTGTATTATCTCGATGCCCAAGACAAATTTCTCCTAAGGGAGACAATAAAGCTATATCTTATCTTCTTATCTAACCGAGTGTGAAGCGGCTGGGATGAGGATCAGCACCTCCAAATCTGAGGCCATGGTTCTCAGCAGGAAACCGATGGACTGTCCACTTCAAGTAGGGAATGAGTCCTTACCCCAAGTGAAGGAGTTCAAGTATCGTGGGGTCTTGTTCTCGAGTGAGGGAACAATGGAGCGTGAGATGGGCCGGAGAATCGGAGCAGCGGGAGCGGTACTGCAGTCGCTTTACCGCACCGTTGTGACGAAAAGAGAGCTGAGCCAGAAGGCAAAGCTCTGTCTACCGGGCCATTTTCGTTCCTACCCTCACCTATGGTCATGAAGGATGGGTCATGACCAAAAGAACGAGATCGCGGATACAAGCGGCCGAGATGGGTTTTCTCCGCAGGGTGGCTGGTGTCTCCCTTAGGGATAAGGTGAGAAGTTCAGTCATCAGGGAGGGACTCGGAGTTGAGCCGCTCCTCCTTCGCGTCGAAAGGAGCCAGTTGAGGTGGTTCGGGCACCTAGTTAGGATGCCACCTGGGCGCCTCCCTAGGGAGGTGTTCCAGGCACGTCCAGATGGGAAGAGACCAAGGGGTAGACCTAGGACCAGGTGGAGGGATTATATCTCTTCACTGGCCTGGGAGCGCCTTGGGATCCCCCAGTCAGAGCTGGTTGATGTCGCCAGGGAAAAGAAAGTTTGGGGCTCTCTGCTGGAACTGCTACCCCCGCGACCCGACCACGGATAAGATGGATGGATGGATTTATGCTAATACTTTTTTACTTTAACTTAAGTAAATAATCTGAGTACTTCTTCAACCTCTGTGTATAAGTATACCTATTCACATGCTTTGTATCATTGTCTTAGTTGGCTATGGGCGTATCACTGCAGTTTCATTTGAAAGCATAACCAGGTCAGGGATCTTTGAAAAGCCTCACTTCTCCTTCAGCATTGTTAACGGATGTGATTGACATTTCTGAGTCTCAAACTTTATAAGGGGAATATATCCATTGATTCATAAATAGCATTAATATAGTAAGCAGGAATTGTAATTGTATGTACAGGATTGTTTGGCTGCAGTTCAGCTAGTGAAAAGCCCTTTGTGATGGTTTCATAGATTAAGAGAAAATGCATCATCTAGCAATCCAATGTTTGGACCCCTAATGATAACAGATACCATGTCAACCACTTGTCTCCAAAGCTGTGGCACTTCAGAACACTCATCATCCTCAGCCAACACTTCCTGGATGATCATATCTGTGTAGGATTTTGCACTGCATCAGATGGTTATTTATTAGAGGTTTTGTGTCTCAACAAAAGGCTTTGTTTAAGGTTTTTTTCACATATGCAGTGCACTATGAACTCAAATCAAAAGTTTTTTGTAAAATCCTCCTTCAATCACACCATCTCTCTGCAGTAGGTCAACTCATTTTAAATGTAATTGACTTGATAGACTGCACCCATTTAAAAATGTAGTCAGCGACTACCAGATCAGCCGTTTAAGAAAACGATGAAACATCAATCAGAGGTATATTTGACGTGTGACATCAGAAGAGCTGATTCTGAGACAACCTAATATACTGTATTATGTTGACGAACTCTCTTTTCATATGGACATTTGTATTTGCTTTAAGCCAATCGAAACACTTTAACAAGCATGGACACAACCCCATATTTTTGTGGTTGTCACCAAAATAATTGTTATTCATGGTTTTGTGCAAGTTGATACACAGAAGACACTTTGAGAAGCAGGTTTTGGAAAAAACATCAATTTTTATTTTGAAATGACTGATCTTGTGCCCACTTTCTTTCTTTTTTTTTTGCATTATTTCTTTGAAAATCTCTTTTGCCAATGACCAAGATAACAATGCTCTTAAAAATAAAATCATAAGGTAAAACTCTTCATAGAAAATAAAAATTCATCTCAAAAACATAAAAGGTACAAGAAAAACATCAAATTTGTTTGCAGGGGGGAAGAGAGGTGAAACCAAATAAACAGAGATGCTACACTCCTCCTGGGGGGGGGGGGGGGGGGGGGGGGGTGATGAACCCAGGCCCACGTTGTAATGAGCCATGAGCAGATCAGAGTCCCACCCACTATGTAAGGACGGTAGCCAATCACAGTGTGAGTTAAAAAGCTCCCATAATGCCCCTCTCTCCCTGGGAGGCTAAGGCAGCCAAACACAGAAGGTTACAATAGGCATGGACACCTTTAGTGGTCAATGTGAGATGAAACACCAGAGGAAAAGATCTCCATCCTCACAATCCTTTGATATGTTGGAAAACATTCAATACTTGACTACAAGTGCTGCTGACGGGTCGATATAAAAGTTGCTCTCTGTATTTCTATGGCATAATATCTACAGGCAGGAAGCCTCCAAGAGTCTTACCCTTTGCCCTGTACTCTTCTACAAACTCTGCCCCAGCCCTAGGAACTGCTAACATCGATCATATCCAACAAAACCTGGAATAAGGAAGTACATCAAAATAAGGTCCATATATGATCACACTTACAAAAAGACACATTTGGACTTTTAAAGGAGGAGTTCACAGCACAGGTGTGCAGACAGGCTGAATTACAAGCTGACTCAGGACCAGATGGAAGCTGTAATCCAAACACAGCTGCTGAGAATGAAGAGGAGGCTAAATGTGACTCAAGATTACGCAAAGCGAGCCAGCAGCCATCACCAAGGATGTGAGCCAGTGGAGATCTCTTCCTCCTGGAGGTACAGTGTATCATGACTAAGAGCATGCTCTGGTGGCAAACACATGCCTGCCAGTTAAGAGTTTTCTTTCAAAATGACACCTCTATCCTTTCCAATTTTAACAACATGATCCATCACCACCACATGCCATTTCAAAGTGAAACCCTTCATCCTCATTACGTGAGATGATTCCTAGCGAACAGTGCTGAAGCCTCGTATTGCTCAGCTGCAGCCGGCTGAGGTGAGGATGAGTTTGAGATGTTACGCACGGCACAGTAAAACACCACCGGGGAGAGGGCGGGGGGAGGGGGAGGCAGGTTGTGATCTTTAAGAGCGCTTATATACTGATTTTAACTCCAGTGAATGCTGCCTTTAGCATATCGTTTTAGATAAGATCCTAAAAGGAACAGTTGGACATTTTGGGAAAATGGCTAGCTTGTTGTTCCTTGAGGGCAGATGATCAGGTTGATACCTCTCTCATATCTGTCCGTTCAATGTGAAGCTTCAGCTGATTAGCTTGGATTAGCACACAGACTGAAAATAGGGGGAAAGAGTTAGCCTGGTTATGACATACACCAACACCTCTAAAGTTAATTTATTAATACAGTGTATCTCATTTGTTCAAATGGTACAAAAAACAGTTATAAAACTGTAAATGTGCCATTTACCAGTGGGTAACATGCAGGACTATTTCTAAGTCAGGAACAGTGACTTCAGGTTTTCATTTGTACACTGTAGTTTTAGTAAAGATTAAACAAAAAAGACATGAAATGAGATTGGTACCGCTAGAGGTGGCGGTAGGCAGATGTAGTTCCTCTGGACAGAGCCAGGCTAGCTTTTCCCTTTCTGTGTGCTAAGCTAATCAGCTGCTAACCATTTATCATAAAGACAAAAAGTCCTGTCAATCTTTTCATCTATATCTGGGGTTATTACAGTAATGTCCTTAAGTGAAACCATGTTAACGTTTCTTTATGTTGGCAACATGTGAGGTTCTCAAGGAAGATATTTCAATGTGCTCCTTATCTGTCCTTAGATGTGGATGTACTTTTTTCTATTTGTGTGTACAAGTAGGTGAGCAGTGCAGCTCACACTGTTCAAAGTATATAAACGCCCTTATGCAGATGTTCAGAGGTGCACCAACAGCATCTGTACCGATACACTCTGTAACTACAGTAACCTGATGGTTCTCATCTGTTCTAAGGCTGCTGTTGAGAGGACACGTAGAACTAGTGAAGAAAATATAATGGAAGTTTTCTAGAGAGTTGCTATGAGTCAGCATTAGAGTGACTGGTTCCACTGACTGCTGCACCTCTGATCGTTTGTGCGTGCATTCCCTTTGTCAAGCCCCCCCCCTCATCCTGCCTTGCTCTCTCCCCAAGAGGTAGAAGCCTTGTCCCAACCCCCCCCGCCCCACTTTTTCCACCACACCCTACCCTGACCACAACGGACCCCCCACCCAACCCCTCCAGTGGACATGGCACTTCTCTACTCGGCCTGAGCGTCATAGTTGGCCCCCCCAGCCTTCTTCAGCTCTGAGCGGATGTTGTCAGCATCCAGCTCCCGGGGGTCACTGAACATGAACTCCTTGGCAAAGTTCTGTAAAACCAAAGAAAAATCCAAAGTTACTTTCATTTGTTGCAGAATGTGAACAGACCGGGCGAATTACAGCTGGGTACACTTTGAAATGTTACAAGGGGATTTTGTACAGAAAGCAAAACCATACTTCAGTTATGACATCTTTTTGTAGGCTACCCGACAACATCGACAAAAAGCAATGGGATTGTTCCATTGGATTCTGGAATATTAACGAAAATAAGACTGGTGGCTAAAAACATTTATGGTACTTGCACGCTTTGTTCAACAGGATAAACTCCACATTTGAACACTACTTTATGATTTGAAGCATAAATGCTAGGCCAGTGGGGTGATTACTGACGTATCAGAATCAGCTAAGTTAAAGAAGATACATTGTAAGAAAAACAACCAAAAACATAAAACAGTTGTAAAAAACCTTTAACATTAATTGATAAAGAAATATTTACTTGAAATATAGATTCACCAAAAAACGAATTAGTGTAATAATAAAATAAAATATGGGCATTATTGTTACGAAGTGGAGAGCTGTGCAGATTATAAACGTATTCAGACACTTTTATGTTGAAAAAACGGTATCGTTGTTTCAGTTTGTTTTAATCACAGAGCTTATTTCAGGCATCTAACCAAAAACACATTCAGAAAACCATTGACTTTGCAACGAGGGAACCGGATGTTTTCAAACGCTAACTTTTTTTTCTTACCACCTTTATTCATTTTCTCCACTAAAGAAGCCGCGAAAGGCAAGTGAGAAAAACAAAATACAAATCGGCCAATAAAATGACTGTCATGTCTTACTTTTGGCCCGAGATGAATCTTACTGTAAGTGGCGCTTATCCAAAATGAATTGAAAACAGGATTGTTTGATTCTTATTTTGAATATGTGGCAGCCATGCACTTCAGCTTCTTGTTGCAAAAAAACATCCTGGCAGAAAATATTCATGATAAAAATCCCCTGCCAATTTTGCTGATTTCTTTCACCGATGGAAAGAGTTACCCAGAACAATGTTTTGGTTTTGGAATAAAAGATGATCCCGGCACTATAACTTCTTCACCTGTTATTAAGTCATAACCACAGAGAGAGCACTTTAGATTTGACAGAAAATTGATCAAAAGATTTTATTTCTCTACTTGCCTCTCAGGGCTTCCGTAGCCCAGAGTTCAGATTGTTGTTGTTTGTTAGAATCATATTGTGTGTGACTGTCTGCAGCACTCTGTAACCCAGCAGTGCTCCCAGAGGACCATTACAGCTCCACTCTCTACACCCACAATGAAATGCTACATTCTCCCCATGTGACCCCACCCAGTTCCTGACCTGCACGATTTCTTTGACCAGCGCCTTGTCGGTGCTGACCTTGGCCCGCTGCAGCCCACTGATGTTCTCCCCGATCCAGGTGATGAGGGTGAACTTGGCCCGTTTGCTCATGGCGTCTCCCATCGTGATGCGGACGAAGGCGAACAGACGAGCGTCATCTGAGGGAGGAGACTATGTTAGACTGAATACACAGATTGTAGGTTTCAACAACTAATAATTGTATTTATTTTTCACAGCGGCTTGCATGTTGTCTCTTGTTTATCTCTCTTTTAAACAAAAGCATGAAAAGCCCTAAAAATAGTCTTAAAGAATACCAAAAAAACTTCATTTAAATCTTAACTATGCATGTGTAAAGAGAAGTGGATGGTTGGATGCCCCGTTCATTCCTATACAAAGTGTCTCAGAATGGCCTACCCTGGGTCTCCGGGGGATGTTCTGCACGGGGCCCGAACATACCCTGTTCACATACAGACGACTCTTCCCCAATGTAAGTCAACGGGGAAAAGTGTTTTTGGGCCCAATGGCATCACGCGGCTGAAACGGAAGTCAGAGTCCCAGTTTTAAGTCACTTTGAAAATGTGCTTGAATGCCTGGCTCACTTCCTGGGGGCTTGGTCATACCCCCGGTACATTCCGTACCACCAGACTCCTGCCAGTACACAGCCTTGCTCTGTTTTCTATCCGCTCATAGAAAAGGCTACACCTTGTTTGTCCAATATTTCTCAATCTTGTGTTGCATTAGGTGTTTCTAAACTAAACTGTGTGTGTATTTCATGTGTGAGTGTTTGTGAAGCCAGACAAAGCAAAACGAGTTTCAGTGTGGCACAGTAACACCAGGTTCTGCTTTTTGGAGTTCCACAGCGTCCATCACCCCCAAACTGTGTGTGTGTGTGTGTGTGTGTGTGTGTGTGTGTGTGTATTCAGGTCAACAAGCCTGAAAACCCTTCAGCTGCTTTGTTTCTTTGTTGTACCTCTTAAAGCCTCTACATCCTAAATAGATCCTGTATATGGCTGCATGATTCATAGAAATTGTATCCAAATCAATTCCAAAGTGTAATATTCAGATTCCGGAAGCACAAAATGAGTTACAGGCTAAAAGAATGTGTTGGTACAGAGCTACCATAGCAATATTAATCAAAAATACACAATTACTTGTTTCCAGACCTCATCCTAAATCAGATGAGAGTGTGTGTGAGGAACATCAGTGTGTAGCCATTAGGTGGGGGGGGGGGGGGGGTTAAGGTACACCTATGTGTTATAGTTTTACATGATGCTCCCCTCCTCTAAAGGTGAGATCAAAATGACATTGATTCCTTTCAATTAAATTTGTTCATATTCAGAAATGTTCTGTAATGGTTTATTCATTGATAAAACTTCTCATTTTTTTGCCACACTAAGATGTTTTAATTTGATTCTTGAGAGGAAGGAGTCTTCATGTCAAGGTAATGGTCACTGCAACAGTGACAAACCATTATTATCTATAACACTGGGTTGCAAAGGGGCGGAACATTTCCATGGGAAGTTAAGCTGGGGAATTTTGGAAATATTCCATATTGGAAACTTTTCATGGGAATAATGGGAACTAACTTGGAATTGAGGGTAATGTAATCGAATGGTATCTTGTCCAAGCATAAATATAAAGATTTTGTTTTGTCATAATATCCATGCAAAATGATACAATTAAAAAACATGAGATTTCAACAGATTTATTTGTAAGTAGAACAGAATAAGTTTTAATTATTTTATTGAACAATCATTTGTTTCATTGAAGAACAAAAACATGAATGTTGAGTTAAATCATCCCCCCCAACACCACTCATTCAGAAATTAACAAAGATGCACCCCCCATCCAAAAATCCCAACAAGAAATCATGTGTGCATGTGATGGAGGAATGCACAGTGCCTGTAGGGGGTGTGGTCTCAATAGCCATGCAGTAAGCAGGGTGCTATGTGCATGTGATGGAGGAATGGCATGGATATTCAAGTGTACTTGAATGGCATCTGTTTGTTTTAGTCAAGATTATGCTGAAATATACTTTCCCCAACTATATTTAAGTTCCCTATGAAGAGCCAACCTTCAATTTAGAAAATTACCAGTTTATTCCTGATTATTCCCATACATTCCTGTTAATTCCTATGGAAAGTTTCCATCTTTGAAAATTCCCGGAATGTTGCAACCCTAATAACACTAGAGTCTAGACCACAGCTCTGAGTGTTTCATATCAAGCCACTGCTGATAAAAGTGCACTTTCTGACATTATGTAGTATCGTAAAGCTGGCTTATCTATCGTTGTGAAGCCAACAATCTATAATACTGGCAAAGAAATTGCCAACAAAATATTTCTGTATGTTAGTCCTAACAACAGATTCACAATTCAAGTCATCTTCTTCTGCTACCTTAATGCTAATTTAGCAAAATAAACTGCTCTCTTCAAATGGTTAATGATGTCTTCTGAATCAAAGACCCTCTCTTGTGGTGCTGCCTTTGTCCTCACGTGATCTAAAAGCGCTCATATTAGCAGGCAGAAATCACAGATATGTGTCTGTGTGGACGTAGCATGGTTGAAACCAGATAGTCTTAGTCAAAATGATACATTTCCTGTATGCCAGACTCTTGTTAACAAAAAACCTGCACGAGGGAGAACAGTACCTACCCCAAGATTCATGGGTATTGAATACAAATGAATCAGCAATTTAAAATGCCATGGTAGGGGGATTCCAGAGGAAGTGTGGATTGTTGTGGTTAAACTTAAAAGCCCACACAGCTCACAAAGATTTGCAAGAATCATTTTCTAAATGCACGCACAAGAGGTGTCAGACAGTCCGTTTCAAATGTAGGCTACTCATGAAGTCACATTACTGTACATGAAATGAATAGAACGTTGATCTGTCACATGGGATTGTACCATTTCACATGTTTCCTCAGAGAGAATGGAAGCAGCAGAGGCCCTGGATCTGTTACCTCCCATAATGCATCTCTCTTTAGACCTTCCCTGCCCATGTCAGGCTGTTTGTTACAAAGTTGTAGTGTCCAAACCCAGGAAAATGATTTCTAAATTGTAGGAAGTGGAAAAAGTGTGTCGCTGTCCTCTGTAGCTCTGTTTCTAACTCTGCTTTGTTGATACTGTAAACCGCTCAAATACTGCGTTACACAGAAATAAAGTGGTTCAGGTCTGACTGCCTCAGTTAACATTGCACTGGTTTCCTCCACCAACATCCAATGGCACCTGCCCAGCATCACTTCACGGCCACACCGCTAACCTGCTAATGTTTGGCTCTTTATGTCAAGATACAGACATAAACCATAAAACCATAAACGATCTCACTTCCATTTTACTGCAATTTTAAAACAAAGAATACAAATATTTCCCTATGTTATATTTAAATTCTTGCATGAGGTTTGGAACAATTCCTCTGAACCATTGAAGTCAGGACCTCTTGCTCGCCCGTGAAAATGTCCCTTTTCTTTTTCTCTCTGCTTTCCTTCTGTCAAATGTGTTCTTGGTACGTGTGCGTGTACGTGTATGTGTGCGTGTGCGTGTACGTGTATGTGTGCGTGTACCTGTGCGTGTACGTGGACGTGTACAATTACCATCAGACATAAAAAGAGCAAATTGCACTCAGCTACACAACGTTATGGCTTTGTTTGCTTTGTTATATCATTAGTGCATCTTCTTTTATGTTTCCGACCCTCAGACATGGCATATAGCAATCGCAATTAATGCACAATGTATGATGCAATCATTCTACTGAAGGCCATTGGGAGTTATTACAGTGAAACCTTTATTATCTGTATGTCAGGCATGAAAACAGGGTCAGGGGTGAAAAAGGTGAGAAGGATATTATCCCTCTAGGGGGGTCCGGGGGCATGCTCCCCCGGAAGAACATTTTGAATATTCCATATTTTAAAGCATCAATCTGATGCATTTTGAGATGCATTTTTTTGCTAACCTGGGGAGAGCTGGAGAAACTTAACTTCAGCCATGAGTCAAAAATATTATGGCCTCCTTACTAAGTATTATCAGGGATACAAACTCATCAGGTATGGAAAAGGTGACAAGGACCCGAGCCCCCCGACCCCACGGAATATCGGCTTTAAAATGTGGAATAACAGAGGATTATAGCAGTCAGAACAACTAAAGCAGCAGGTAATAATAACAGAAACGCTAAAGAGTCACATCTAGTAGAAATATATAAAAGCATTTATTTTAATTGTGCAGCAGTCAGTTTATAATTTTGGCAGCACTGTTGAGCATTTTGAAAATGTATTTTCATGCCTCTGTGCAAGGCTTAGTCTTTCTATCTTTATGGCATCTGGTGTAAAGTAACTAAGTTCATAAACTCAACAAGTACTATACTTGGGTACAATTTTGTGATACTTGTACTTAATTTAAGTATTTCAATGTTTTGCTACTTTGTTCTTCTACTCCACTACAGTTCAGAGGTAAATGGTGTACTTTGACTCCACTACATGTATTAATACCTTTAGTTACTTTACAGATCTGGATGAATGATGTGAAATCTAATCAAGTGTTAAATCAGACTGTAGTTCCACCTGGAGTAAATCCACCAGCTACCCTGCAGTATACAAAGTCATTCAAACTAGCTGCACCTTTACCAGCTTTGAGAACACTTTCATGATCAATCATTATAAAACATATCATATATATTATTCTGAAATGGACCAATCTGCACAACGACTATACTTTTACTGTCTTTCACTATATTTTGATGAGAATACTTTTCTACTTTCACTTGAGGAACATTTTGAATGCAGGACTTTTACTGTGACAGTATTCCTACACTCTGGTACTTCTACTTTTACTCAAGTACAAGATCTGAGTACTTCTACTTTTACTCAAGTACAAGATCTGAGTATTTCTGCTTTTAATCAAGTACAGGATCTGAGTACTTCTACTTTTACTCAAGTACAAGATCTGAGTACTTCTACTTTTAATCAAGTACAAGATCTGAGTACTTCTACTTTTACTCAAGTACAACATCTGAGTACTTCTACTTTTACTCAAGTACAAGATCTATACTTATACCACCTCCGTTTATAGCCTATGAAAAACTATTAGAAAACGAAGGCTAAAGCTAACGTTAGCAGATAGTGACAATGTATGCTAGCTAGCTAGCTCAACGATAATATTGCGACA